GGTTTAATAGTGTCCCAAAGGGTTGCAACCTTTTTGGAAGATGGGATAAGATGGGCTTGAAACAATATATATATATATATACATTATATATATATATATTAGGTTCAGGGAAGGGAACTTAGACTCTGAAGCCCAATTGTGATTGACAAACTTTCGGCACAGCTCTCTTTGGAGACCCAGGAAAATAGAAAGGATACTTTTGGTTCAATACACGCAAACCCACTGGGGGAATTGACGTCCATGCAGTTCGTAAGGTCGTCGATCCTTCCCACAAGACGGCTGGTAGAGGATGTCCAAACTAGCTGTTCGGAGACCGGAGGCCTTCATGCATTTGGACATTAGCGCACGTCCAGCGTAGAACTCCACCATGTCAAACTCCTGCACGGGTGCGATCAAAGGTGTCAACAGTACGGTTGTCTTTGTTCATTTTGTTGGAGTGAGGCTTCCAGGAAATCCACCTGCACCTTCCCCAACTATAAGAGCGCAGTGCACTGGTGGAATTGCTCCTCGCTGCAGTCGAAAGAGGATGTCCACAGGATCAGCAAGATGATCTCCGCAAAAACCTGCAAGTGAAGAGATCCCGAGGCTCCAAAATCTCGAGTGACCTGAAATATACTATCTTCTGGGCCCTTCAACTCGAGCTATATTACAAGTTCCGTTCATCAAATGTTAGAGGTGTCCGAAATCACGCTTGTATGGCCTGTATACAGGCATTTTTTGGACACCTCTGTTTGTGTCAAATTCACACTCATGCACATGCAGGCGAGCCTTAGGACAGTCCAGCTTCAGAAGTCTCCAGAACAAAGCATCTAGGGCCGTGGAATCATGAAACATCATGCTCCCCTGGCCCCCGTGGTCGAACAGACCAAGAGGACTGAAGGCTGACTTCAAAAAAAGAGCTGCGGAGAAGAAGAGGCCAGCACATGCCCGATCGTGGAGGGTACTGTCACGTGAGAAAAACTGGTAAATAATTTATATATTCGATCAGTGAGTTTCAACTCCTTTCACATTTGAAGAACTGAAAAGAGATGCACATCCGGCATACACAAAAATTCTAAATAAGCCAGATGCATGTTTCTTTGCCTTATTGAACTTGGTGCGCACGGCGAACAGCCGTCCTCGAAGGCCCGGCATGCTGGCAGCACGCCTGCGCAACAGATTTGGCATGAGGATGAACTATGGGAGTTACACACAGCACCAGGGCCAATCACTGTGCAGTTGGGACCTCATAGGATTCAACGCGTACTCCCAAAGACGAGTCTTGCCAATCATGTTTCCTATTCACGTGTAAATAGCATACAGGCGATTCTTGTTTCCGTGTTCTTTCGCAGCGCTCACACCACTCTTTCTTAGCGCAAAAAGCTGCAGCACGAAGGGGCACCCAAGAACAACCATGTTTTCACAATTGTGAACGCCATCCATTTCAACACCTTAAGATGAGGGAGAATCCTATATAGACAGTCTCTGGGCACCCACACACGCTGTCCACAATTTGTGGAAGCTCGATGGCTTCACACCCCCTAAGCTGTCAGATCCCCGAAAGCCCGCAAGATGAGCTGTCAAAATGCGGACGTGCTGTTTGACAGCCCGTGTCAGCTCATGAACTCACAGTCTCATTCACAATCAAGAACAGCGCGTGTGCACCAGTGCTCCGCAACATGTCAACCTTGCCCCCGTCTTTGACATAGCCAGGTTCGTCCTTTTCAAACCCGGCTGCCTTAGCACACATGCCCATATATACAGTGTGTTGACCTGCGTTTCACACTCACACTAAATCAGTGTTGTCACAGCCAATGAAATGAGCCAAATTCCTTATAGTTCAGCACACTTGGCAGAAACGGCCATTCTGAACACCGGCTCCGCACTGGAAGAATTGAACCCAAAGTTGCACAAGTCCTTTCCTGTCTCCTTCTGCGTGACTCCTGCGGCACACCTTGTCCAATACAGGTTCGAGCGGGTCTTGGTGAAAGCTTCAAGGGAACCCCTCATAGCCGCTTTGAACTCATCACTTGTTGGGCTCTCAAAATGTTCGAATTGCATGGCAAAGTCAGTCATCTCCTTAACTAACGCAAGGTCCACCTGAGGACTCAGGTTGTCACTCTCAGTACTCTCACGCTTTCTCCGCGAAGATACCTTTGCCGCTTTGGTCTTGGTCTTCTCCGCTTTCTTGACCCTTTTGCTGGTTGGAGTCTTTGTTTTTGTCTTCTTGCTCTTGCTCTGATGCGGATTCAAGTCCGTGGAGCTGGCGCTCTTCAACCTCATGACACTCCTGTTACGGCTCTGCTTTACACGTGTAGGAGCTTTCGCCGTTTCAACTTCACATTCATCACCCCACTCACCTTCCTCTGCGAAGCCCTCCTTTACACCTTTCCTGTCCTTGGCCTTCCCACGAGATTCCTTGGTCCTTCTGCTCTTGACCTTCTTGGCTTCACCCTTCCCCTTACCCTTCTTGCCTTTACCCTTCTTGCCTTTACCCTTCTTGCATGTCTGATTTTTCTTCTTCTCTTTATTCACCTTTGCCGTGTCCTTACGCTTCTGCTTTTTGTCAGCCTTGGCTGACAGCTGGTCATTCCTAGTCAGAATCGGTTCTGTCTCAACCGCAGCCGCACTCTTGTCAGCGTCTTCCTTGGACTCAGTGTCCTGCCCGCTTATGGCAGTAAGCAACAGAAAACCACGGGCGCACACACACACACATTCAAAAAACTTTTTTCCCAGCGTAATAAACTTTAAACATGCACTTCAAAAGGTGCGCATTGCAGCTCCTTTGGGCTTGTCTCCGTTGGCTCCGTTGGAATAGAAGTGATGGTCCTCGATCCTGGGAGGGGCTGCCGTTGGTAAATAGCACGGGAAGTGCCAGGGCTCAAGCTGTCTTTGGAATGAGGCTTGTCTGGCAAGACAGCAGGTGCACCATCCATGAGTTCAAGCGGTTGGGTATCATCAGTGTCATGAGCAGCAGGCAGGATCTTGGCCTTTCCTGCAGAACAGAAATACAGGCGCATACAAATTGATGAACATATATATGAATGAAGAGTTCATGTGAAAAGTCCTGGGCAAGTTTTTGGCGGGTCCATGTTCGCAGCTTTGAACTTGGCAATTTGCTGGGTGATTTCCTTCTTGCGATTCCGCAACCTCAATTGGACAACCCTATGCAAGGATGAGCATAGAGATGCGCGTGCTTAAAAGGGCAAACAGTGACAAGTCTATGTGACATAGGGTCTCAGGTTAACACTGGTCCAGTTGTTCCTTGGCAGTGGCAAGGGAAGCCAGCAACTGCTGGGCCGCACCATCCAAAGCATCGGCAGTGGCTTTCATACCTGCCCCCACTCAACCATTGCAACACACATCAACACACATATTTGCAAAGAGGTCCGGTCTACATGCATATATTTGGCATAACAGAAGACTGGGCAGTGCACCTTCTGGGGCAGGTGAAGCTTTGGACGGCGATGAAGGCGGAGTTCCACTCGCAGGACAAGGGGGGGTGCCACCAGAGTCACCGTTGGATTCGGGTTCAGGAATATCTACACCATCAACAGACTCTTCACACTCCTCATCATCATATGCATCAGGATCCACGTCCTCACTGCTTCCCCCCTGCGCAGTCAAAACACATGAATCATTATGAATCCAACATCGTCCAAAGACATGCAACTCAGGATTGAAAGGGTGGCAGTGAGCCCAGCCTTAGAACCACCACGTCTCTCTTCATACCTCCTGTTGACTTCATCGCATGTTTCCTGAACGATATAAGATAGCCGTGCGGTGTGACCTTCTTGTGTGCTGGGTGAAAATTGTAGAACTGACATGTTCTCATCAACTTTTCCACATGGCCAAAAGACGGTCCTGAAGGAGGGGGTTCAAGATGAGACAGAGTTCCTGAAATCGCCTCACCTGGGCAGCCAAGCATAGCCATGCTACTTTTGGAATTGTCTCATGAATGTTCAGCCCAGAAGTCTTCAATATATAGTCTGAACTTGGTTAATACAATTTTCATAATTGTTCATACATACACATCAGCAATCAAACACCGAGTGGCTGTTGAGACCTTCTGCACACGCACCTTGACCTTGACGAGGGATACGAACTTCTTGATGAGCCAGGAGTCGCGAACTACTGTGGACTCATCGGCCACTACACCACACTTCTTATACAGCTCATAGAGTTGCTCTCGCAGCGGTTCAACGCATGGTTGTGGATGGCGTTCTACTGGGGCCACACGAAGTAGTACCACACGTAAGAGTGCATGTACATGTGGAACACAGGCGGCTTTCACTGATTCGGTCACACCTTCAGCAAAGAGCGCTTGGGATACCTCCTCACCAGTCTCACCTTTTTTAGGCCTGATCCATGAACGTATGTCCACTTCCTTCTCCCACTCAACTGCCAAACCAGTTGTATCCACTGGGGTTCGCGTCGGTGCTTCACCCATGATGGTGCCCACCCAGAGACTTGCTTTTTGAATCTTTTTGAGCCAAACCCTGCCTGTTTGTGAGAATGTGATGTTCACTTGAGATGCTTCTCACACTCAAGCTTTCTCATCCTCTTATCAGCATAAAACACTCACCACTGTCACCACTGCGCGCAGGACCCTCGCCTTCGTGGCCATGATTGGCAACCACATGGCGGCAGCGACAAAAAAAAGTGGTGAGATGTTATAAAGAGTGGTGGCAGCATTGTGGCCTCAGAGCATTTTGCTTAATTCCTGGGCTGATGGTATATGGTCCCATGGACTCTTCTTCAATCCCCTCCTATTTTTATATATGGTTGGATCTCTCATGGCTGCATGATCCAAAAGCATGCTGCTCAATCCAAGACACGGTGTTTTTTTCAGAAAGACAATGTTCTGACAGAATGCAATGTAAACACAATGTTTATGGAAAGAACCTACAAATTGTCAGGTTCTTGGCTCCCTAGGTAGTATATGATCCTGTATTTGGGTCCAAGCCGCTCCGTCCGTCACCCCACCGGACTCGGTCTCTGAGACCGTCGGTGTTCTCTGCCTCGGAGAGCTCCGACGCCAAGCTTTCAGCCACCTCGTTGGCCTCCTGCGCCGGCGGCTTCGGCGCGACGTCCGCGGCGGCGGACGTCCGGATCGAAGATAGGACAGGAGAATTGGGGGAAGGTACTGGAACAAGACAGTGCTTGGTGGTGGTGGTGGTGGTGGTGGTGGTGGTGGTGGTGGTGGTGGTGGTGGTGGTGGTGGTGGTGGTGGTGGTGGTGGTGGTGGACGTATAATAGGTGGAGGCCATCGCTATTAGGTTTGAGGCCATACAGGAAGCTACTAGTAGCAAGGACGATCTGGATAAATGTCTCGCGAAAGAGCGATCTGCAACTTCAGCTGCAGGTCATCACAGCTATAGTCCGCTAGGCAAGCTTAGGCTTACCTTCAAACAAACGTGGATATATAATGTACATGGATAGCGTGGAGTTGAGATGAGATTCGGCGTTTCAAGATCTGTTCCAACCTATTTTCCGCAAAAGTGGCCTCAGGAAATGCTTTTAAGCGCCAAATGCCTCAGGAACGTATTTGTTCACTGCAGTTTGGATGCCCTCCTCATAATTCTTTGGACTTCTCAGGCCACGTGAATTGGACATCTGAGTTGGGGATTTCAAACGCAGTTCACACGCAGTTCCCTACCTCATGTGGCCTTCAAAATCAATCTCCTTCAAGGCCTCTTAAACAGGCTCTGCAAAAAAGCACAAGAGCCTATTGTGAAGCATCTGCCCACCTATCAAATCAGCAACATGTCAACCACCTCCACCCTCACTTCCTGACCCCTCCCAGTCTCGCTCCATGTCTCGCTCCGTCTCCGAGCTTTCACTCGGCGCTCTGCCTCGAGCTTGGCGTTGAGCACAAAGACCTCCTTGGCACTCTTCGCTTGCAGCGCCAACTGCTGAGACAGTTGAGCCTCCATCGCCTGAGGCAGCGAAGGTCAGGATCTTGGCCTCAAAACCTTTGGCTGGCGGGTGAACAGTTTCTTCCAATATGATCCGCATGAAGACCTCACGCTTTTTGCTTCACGTTCCTGGAACACCCCCCGTGTTGCCACGGCCTTTGAGCCGCTTAGCCTAGCCTTTAAACGTCTTTAAAGAGCATAAGAGAAGCATTCCACTCAACTAGATTCTTACCAAATTAGTTCCATCAATCATGTTCATCCATTTGTGATTTACATTGATTCATCATACGAATGGACATCCACTCCCTTCCCCCACTCAGAAGATGTCCGCAAACACTCGCATCCGGCGAACCGACCGGCGAACGGACAAAAACCGCCTTGCAGCGGTGTTTGGGTTCCTGGCAGGCGCATGATGCTGCGAATAACATGGGATGATCCTGAAACAGCTCATGCCCCAACAAGAGAATCAGGTACAACATGAATCGGATTGAATCGGCAGCCAGGCGTATCTTCTATTGCGTATGTTTTTGTCTTATGTAATCTTTCTAGACAGGATTCCGAAAAGTCTCCTCAAATGTCCTGAGTCAGGAATCTGTTCATATCTCTTCACTACTCAGTACTCTCACAGTGAGAAAATTATGCACCTAATGAGTCAGGTCGGACTCCAATTACGTTCACACAAACATCCGATCGACACCGCGACACATCGCTCCTGACCGCTGCGACTCGTCACCGAGCGACCTGAAGGGACCAGGACCGAGCGAGACGTGACTGGTGGCACCAGCCATGGTCGCTTGGTGAACACTCAGCGACTGGGTGGTGCTACTGGGTTGGTGGTGTTACTGGGTGGTACCAAACGAAGACTCAGCTACTGGGTGCTGCTGAGTAAAGCGTTTGACGGATGGCCTGATTTGTTCAAGAAGCCAGTCCAATGGCCAGTCGAACAATTCCAACAAAAGCAAACCGCGTCAATCCATCCCACAACGGCCTGGCTCTGCTTTGGGCGCTTCTTTCCTGGACCTGACCACCACAGGTAGAGAAAACAAATCTCCAACTCCTGCTTGCCGCAGCGTGCAAACAAACGTCTTTGATCCTATAGACCTAAGCTCTGCCGTGCAAGGCTCTGCTCTGCGGTGTGTGCGCGCAAATAGGAGGATCAAACATGATCAAACAAACATCTCCGTGGAGCAGGTGTTCACTAGAAGAGGGACTCATGTTCTTTAAATCCCGCGAGCAGTGTCTAGTTCCGTCGGATCCTGCGCATTGGCCAAAAATCACGGCAAAGAAAAACTCGCAGCCCCACAAAAAGAACGACTGCCAAGTTCTTTTCAATACATACTCTTCTTTGACTCCCCCAACCCCGTCAAGTACAACAGCAACATCCTGATCAAACCGACACGGAATCTGCTTCAATGTAAATCAACCAAGTGTTGGCATTCATGTAGGTCATCCTCACAAGCGAACCCTGTCCAAACCGCTTACAAGGTGGTATATTTCATGGACAGGAGAGCATCGGAGGCCTACCGTACCACTTGATCACGTGGGGAAAAGGAAAAACACAAAACAACCATGCCTTTGCGCTTCCACCAGGGACGCACGGAGAGCCCACTGGAGCTCTTCCTCCTCCTGACACTTTGAAAGTGTGAGCAGCAAAAACAAAAAATGGTACCAACCTACATACAGTAGCCGTTTTATGGGCATTCTCTTTTTCGGGTCTGGAGGTTTGATTCATCGCGTTAGATCGTATTTGCATGCACACGTGCTTTGCATATTGTTGTTTTCACAGTTTGTGTCTGTTTGTCTGTGGTGGCTTGTCGGTGTTCCCATGATTGTTGCTTTCGTTGTTGTTTCCTTTCTTGGACAGAACAACCTCTTCAACAAAGCCCACTCAACATTCACGCCACCTCTTACAGAAAGCACCTCCTTGGCTTTCAAGAAGACCTCAAGACTCCTCAAACTCCCAGAAACACTAGAGCGAGCATGAACAGAAACAAACACAAGTCCAAGGGTGCTCTAAGCGTTGACTAAGAAACTTGAGGGACTCATGATTCATGAAGCCAAACTCATTGGTGACCCAAATCTCAGGCTTTTCGCCACCTGCATTGCTCCCTTAATTGAGTCTACAACCAATATATAGGTAATTAAATACCATATACATGGTACCGGGCACTGACCCCTCATCACTCCCAAGGGCCAAACATCCCTTTCGCCCCGACCCCGTCCTGAGTCAGTGCCGGGCCATTTCGCCGCGCCGGAGCCAGTCGCTCCGCCCGCTCCGCCCGCTCCGCCCCTGGCGCGGAATAGGCCGGCGCACGTGGTGCACGAGGGCCCAAACCGCTTTGGGGTGGCCGAAGGGTGTGGGAAGGCCGAACCGGGCCGAAGCCGGACACGGCATGGGTTAGGTCCGATCCCGGAGGGATGAAGGAAGCGAGTCGAGAACGAGGGGGTACGAGCGAAGGGGTGGAGAAAGGCATGCACCACGTATACCAGTGCTTGGGCAAAGGTTCAGTTCCATGAAGAAGCTCTTCCTTCGCCTGATTTCTCCCATCTACTATCCAGGATGATGGTGCGGAGAGCTTGTAAAATCAGGAAGGCTACCAGGCTACCAAAGTAAACCAATGAAGGAAAATCAAGCCAATCACTTGGAGCTTTCGCCACATGAACGTGACATCCCCTATACAGCTTTGTGTTGTTTCTCTAAACCCTGAACCGAATGTTTAACCCTAACAGGATGTAGACCAAACAGAATGTAGAACCCTAACAGAATGTATAACCCTAAAACAAGCGATTGTTCTTCATGTTTGTGTTGTTTCTCTAAACCCTGAACCGAATGTTTGGGAACCCTAACAGGATGTAGCCCAAACAAATGTAGAATCCTAACAGAATGTAGAACCCTACAACAAGCGATTGTTCTTCATTTTTGTGTTGTTTCTCTAAACCCTGAACCCTAACAGAATGTAGACCAAAAGCTGTGGCTCCCTGCTTCTGTGTTCTAGCCAAGTTCCACTGGAGGGGAGTTTGCGACGCTCCATCGGTGCCTTCATCGGTTGGGCCAGGGCCCACCAGCATGTTTTCCGCCTTGCAAACGCCAAACCACCACTGAACCCACGCGCAAGAGCTTGGTGGAGGACGAGGATGGTGGCGCTTCGCTTGTTCACAAGTGGTCCGCCCAACTACTACCAGTATCAAAGCAGTTTCTTGCAGATGGAAGAAGTTATATATAACTTACAAAAGACCGGATTCTCAAATGATGGTTTACATGCAGCGTGGTCAGAAAAGCCTTAGGAGGGAGCATCTGTCTCGACATTGAAGCTTCCCTCTCTCGGCCAATGAATCACACAAATGGAGAGTGAAGTCCTGGGGAGTGATGTCCCGAACGCTCTCCACCCCCCAGGTGTGACCGCAAACTGCACCCTGGCCTCCTGCATGAGCTTGGTCGCACCCTTTTCAAAGGCCTTTTCAGCCTTCTCCAGGTGTTTCTCCTGAGGCGCAAGAGTGAGACTTGGTGGAAAGCTTGGGGAATGATCGGGAACTGATTGAAGGAAACGGAGGTTTAGGGGTGTCGAATGTATCCCACAATGGAGATCATTTCATGTTCTATGCTGATTGTTTCCAGCAGGAAACCAGCTCTAAAACACTTGGCCTTTGATCCCCTGGGGCACCAGCTTCTTCACACATGCATCATGTGTCACATATGTGCGTAGTGCAATGCTCCAAATTGACCCCCAAGCAATGGGTCATGGGTCTTCTGGGGGCTCTGACTGTTTCTCTTCAACAGCGCATCTCGTTGAAGTGGTCTCTCCGCTCGGTAAACGTCGAAGAGAAAACGCACAACCGGCTGAGTTCAGGACGGCTTTCTGCCACAAGTGCTGAGAGTTCTTCTTCGCCAATCGTCGAGCCTGCCGAAGAAAAATAAACACACACACACACACCCAGGTTCCACAGCGGTTGGGTGAAAGAACGGTCAACAAAATTGAGCAAACATACACATTTCATTCGCAAGTAGGCGGGGTGTAAAGGGTCTTGCCTCAGAACGTGTTGCGCATTTTGAACCACACCCAACTGAAGCCCATTTAAAGCCCTTCTATCTTCATCCAGGTCATTCTAATCACTGAAAGCCTTTTCCAATATGTTGTTTATATAAAACCAAAAAGTAACCTGGATTCCTTCATCAAACGAACATTCCTCCATGCATAAGGCAAGTAAAGGTAGCATTATATAACAGGTAGCATTTGGATTTGGACTAGTTTTGAGAAAAGACTTAAGTTACTGCAGCAGGGGCTGCACGAAAGGTCGTCAAGGTTGAAGGACAAACCGTAGCAAAAGCAGCAACAGCAGCAGCAAGTGGCCAGCCAAGCAGCAGCAGTGAACCGGCAGGAGACCAGCAGCAAACTAGCACTAGCAAACAACCAACCGCAGCAGCAGCACCTGACATTATCCCACTTCAAATCATCCCCCAAGATCCCCCAAGTGATTGTAGTGTCACACTCGTCACTGTATCCATTTCTTATCTCAATAGAATGTATGCCACGCTGAGCTGAATTTATGAAAGCGCTTGGCGCTTGTCATCTTTGTTCTGAATGTTGGATGTCAATGAACATGTTCTTGCGTTCTGCTCTTGGATAGGGGTGTTCCATGTAAGACAACAACAACAACAACAACAACAACAACAACAACAACAGCAACACTAAAATTATCTGCGTTGGATATGTTATCATTCTATATATCTTATGTAGTATTGCTGTACATCTTTGTTGGTTTCGTACTCTTGAGTCCTGCATGTGTCCATCATAATTAGTGTTCGTTCACTTGTGTTTGTTCAGGTCTTCTTTAAGTCTCTGGTCTTGGTATATATTTAAGCTGAAGCTGCTGGCCCTAATGCCTTTAACTTGATGCTGCTGATCAAGTGGGAATTCCAACACCTCTTACAAGGCCCAAGGCAAGTTCTTTGTCGATTTATTGGTGATGTCTGCTCCGAAGCTCTTTCGAATGAAGATCAAAGCTTTGTTCTTCCAGTCCTGACCATGTGAAGACCCTGTGGTTTTGTTATCAGTCTGCTGGAAATGGTTTCCCCTGTGTTCCCCCTTTCTCTCTCCATTGTTGAGTTGCCTGAGTCCTTGTCTGTTTTGTTTAATTTAAGCTAAGACACTCTCTCTGGAAGACAGAAAGGTATACGGTATATGGTCTAAAACAATCTGCTGTGACTGCGTCTCCGCTTTGCCATAATATACCCAAAGGAAAACTCAGGGCGGGTTCTCCAAGATAAGTGGGGTTTCCCTTGGAAACCCGGGGTTTGCGGTTTTCGTCGCTCTTCAGCTTTCAGCACGCGCGGGTATCGAGAATTCGGTTCAGAAGATTTGTGTCCTTCTCTCACTGACACACAAAAGTCAGTTAATCTGAATTCCAAGAACTCGACACTTTTTCTTTACGGGCTTTCACGGTAAAGCACAGGTTTGAGAACACAGGGTCTACAGCAAATACCGAGAAAATACTAGGAAATCACGGGTTGGCACGGGTCAATCATGAGGGTTGAAATTAGCACAAACAACCACCTCAACGAACAATCAAGTCAAGCATTGAGCATGTGAAAGACTAGACGGGGGATTTGGAGGACGGCGAAGCCATTGAGCGCACAAGATGAACCGGGTGTGGGGAGCAGGGTCGATCGTACTTTTTTCGTCTGGCTCGCAGGCGGTTTTGCTGACGGCGTTTTCGCATCTACCACACCTCGATCTTTCGTGGATGCTTAGGCTTGGAAACACGGAGACACGCGAACTGCCGTCTTGCAAAACCATTTTGGAGGAGAAAGCGAGCAGCAAACTCAGAGCTGCTTCCAAGCGCCCACAAACGAGGAGTGCTGTTTGAGTTGAATATGTTGCCAAATTCATCTTTTAGTTGATCATGCTGTAACAGTACTTCAGCTTTAGTATTCAACATATATAATATTCAAATTATATTCAATCAAACATGCTGGAGGTCTGGCAGCCCAGCACGTCAACAAGTTCAAACCATGCTTTTTGATCGTAAAAGGCGACTCGACCAATGTGCCTTGAGTTCATCAGCAGAACGCATTTTGTGTGTCGATGTGAAACCTTCAGCCATTGAACCCATTGAAGTTGTGTTCCAATTGAAGTTGTGTTCCAATAGAAGCATTTAAAGACTGTTTCCGTTGGTGAAGTTGTGTTGGGGTCAAAGCTTCTCCAAGGCATGGCCCCTGGGGCCACTGCCAACAAAAAATAGTTTCTTATATTGGAACAGAATATGCCCTTCGCCTGCTTCAGAATAGACTTCCGGGGTAACACGCGTTTTATCAATTTTACACTAATTCACGGAGTTTGTCCACATACCCGACAAAAGTTAGGGTTCAGGTTGGCGGGGTGGCGGGGTAGGTACATAATTGTGCATAAAACATATTACATTATATGTTTCTTTGAAAAATCTTTGAATGGGTGTGATATACTATATTTATTTCCTTGAGAACTGAGAATTTGAATTGGATGGTTGAGATCGCGGTTAGCGTTCAGCATTGAACTGTCCGTCGTTCATTCTCAATGTCGTTGTCTTCTGTCTTTCTGCTCGTGCCTCTCTCTCTCATTAAATATTGCTGATATTGAGGTGACCAAGGCAATGATGAGCCCTGCATTGAGGAGTGCTACTTTTCATCCCAAACGCCTTGAAACCACTGCGAGAAACCACATCATCACGTCGCCCTTGTTTTCGACACGTCGCCCTCCGAGTCTTCCGACCGAAGTGTTTCACAGCCTTCGGATCCAGCTTCTCCGCGGGCAAAAAAGGAGTTGTCTCGTGCTTTTCTCCATCAGTGAGTCAGCAAGTCCCGGGTACATGATCCGAGGAACAACAAACGACCTAAGGATTTCACCTTGCATAGAGCTCTGAAGCAAGGATTTGAATATGCTTTAACCAACATTCCTTGGAGAAAAGAAGCCCTATTATCTTTGATCAAGAGCCTTCAGAACTATATATATCATTATAACATTATGTATGTGGATGTATGTGGTCAGACTGGCAATTATCGGGCCCAGCTGGCTCACTGAGATGGTCTCAAGAGTCGTCGGATCCTGGATGTATCTGTACACCTGTGGTGTTCAAGGACAGAAACACAAACGTTTTGCCTGTGAATCGTCCACCAGAACTCCCACTGTTTGAATTGGAACAGCCGTCAACCCTCCAGCAGCGGACTTCCGGGAACATACAGCTCAGCTCCCTTGTCAATGAGCTGCGCGGATGCGCTGATCTCCCTCATCCATTCGTATGCACTAAATTTAATCTTGACAGTACATACAACCATCACATCATGCTTGTCGCCATCGGCACCCATCAACTCAGGTGTCAAAACCTCCTGGAACGTGGTGTCCGGAACGGGGATCTTTTCGACATAGCCGTCTTCGATGCCCCCGTTGGCGTCCTTGTACACGTACACATTGAGCTCATCGTGCAGCTGGTAGTCATTGATATAGGCCCTGTTGTGAAAGTCATATTTCTCTGACCGGTAAAGTTTGCACGTAATCGTCTTGTCCTGAGTCTCATTCTTCATAAGCATGGCCAACATAAAGTCACCCGGCCAATCACGAGTATGCCATGGTAGCTCACAAATGACTCTGACTCTGATGGAGTGGCCTCCTCCTTTTTCTGGGACAAACTCATGAGCTTCTTTTTCTATTGCTTCGCCTTTGCAGCACTCCATGGGGCTGTTTGGGCTGGAGCGGGCACAACAGGAGGGAGCCGAAAGCTGTCTGCAGTGAATATGAATATATTACACTCTGACACACTCACATGGAAGTGGAACATGCCCCTTGGAAGACTACTTTCCTCGACCAACAGGGGGTTTTCCACTTCCATGTTAGTGAGCCTGAGGGTGCACTTCATGCGTCGTGTCAGCGGTCATGCGAGCCAAATCCCCCAGTCGCGGCGCCCAGTCGCTGAAGAAAAAGATGGTCACAGTCGAAGCCGAAGCAAAGAATGATTGGCGGAACTTGAGCCAAGCCCACAAATCAGAAACATCCACCACATCAATGTGGGAAGACCACCATAAGTCCCAAATCAGGTGCGCCAGCGCAAACCTCCCACACTGGTGTTTAGTAAAGAAGGCCTCAAGTAGCTGAAAGCTACCTGTCATATCATGTCGTATCCTATTAGAAACGCCACGGAACTGGCATGGTTGATGGGATCGCGTGGCTGGCGCCACCCAACCCGCCGAGGTCGGAACCTTCTCGAAGTCCGATGACATGGCCTCGCATGGGGGCCAAACCACGCGGAAGGGAACGAAGGTGAAGGAACTGAGAAGCGGATAAAGCTCTGCTTTGGCCAAGCCAGAGCAGAATGGCCACTGCTCATGCTCCCCAAAAAACCTGACCCTGGTCACTCATTTGCACAAGGGGGTAGTCATCGCAAGTCGGTTACTCCGGTTGTTCAACATGTTGGACCTGGTGGCGATGTGTGCCATCCACCCCACCGTCTGGCCTTGGTGAAGGAGCTCCAGCCGTCCTTGGGCTTTTCGAAGCAGCGGGCCTCCACCTCTGTGGCCAACATCCGGACCTGGGACATTGGTGACATCTAGTGGCATATGAAGCATGTCGGCGCCAGCCTGGCAGAAAACAACTCAAAAAGAACACCAAACAAAACAACACGCTGGCGCCGACTGCCGACCGCGGTCTGGCGGGTTCTTCGTCTCGCGGGGCGACCGCGGTCCGTGTGATCCGAAGAGATGGAAGAAAAAGCCTCGAGCTGGGCCCGCGGCATTCTCGTCCATGGCAGGGCCCAGCTCACCCCCACGGGTTTGCCGCAAAGTCTGGGCCGGCCAAGGCGCGAGATCAATGGATGGTACCCTGACATATACACTCTGCAGTCATTGGGGCGTCCTCCAGTCAACCCTCTTCTTTTGACTGGAAGGCTCTAGTTACTCTAGTCACTAGAGGACTGGAGGTCTTGGTTCAAGTTGCGACTCTCCAAGACTCAGTCAGCCCTAAGGGAACTATCAATAATACTCATCCTGGAAGTTACAGTAAGGAAACACCCGTCGAGAGACTCCAAACTGGTTGGTTGACGTTCGAAACGAACCGAGTAAAGTGTGATCTGAGGAGTTTTTCTGAGTACTTTTCGGCTCAAGAAAGTCGGGTGAGGGCCAAACTGCCCTAAATCCAACTCATTCCAACACCCTGCTTAAGCCAATCTTCAGCTTGAAGCAGTCTACTCGCTTGCTTTCCATAGCCGCGTACTTTTCACTGAAATGCAGTTTCATCCACCTGATCTTACCTAGACCATTTCAGTGCCAGAATGCACCAAACTGACGTCTAACCATGCTTCAAGAAAGTCTTCCAACTTTGTTGTCCTCAATACCTCATGACCACTTCAGTATCTGAGCAACTCCTCATGGCTCCACCACACCATTGAACGGCTGCAAATGTCCATTCAATGGCCTACCATGGTGAATCTGGGGCTGAGTCTTGTATTGAGTTGCTGAACATCTTCAACCAGCCCAGAGATGCTATAGGCCTAGGCTCAACCCTGGATGAGCCTCCAAGGCTTCGCGCAAGCCCTCGGCCAAGGCCAACTCCTGGACCTTGGCTGTCCGTGCGAAACATCTTGACAACTGCAGAGTTGAAGACTTTTTTGACGTGACATACGTGACCCAGTTTGGAGCCACAAACGTGGGATGGAATGAAAAGAATATGATGGCCAAAGAATTCCAAAGAGTTAGTGGGCAATGCAATTTTTCCAGTAGGACCCTCATCTACCACCTCCGCCCTGCACATTCCGTGCAAGTGATGGCTATCTTGGCCATGGTCTGAGAACAACATGTCAAGACATTTCACGTTGCTCTATCTCCAGCATCTCGACCAAGCTACAAAAGCCAAACACATCTGTGTCATGTATATGTGTGGCTATAAAGGTGGCTAAATGAGTGGTATGCACAAATCAACTGTGCCAAAAGAAAGACATTGCACGACACCATGAGTCGGTCCAAGCGTATACAAGTATCACTATCACCCCAGCTTTCTGGACGTTCCGATTTGAAGCCATGGAAACTCTTTTGTCTCCAAACTTGGCGGATTCGTATGATCTGTAGCTTGCTCACCCACGGCCAACCGAAGCCTACTTCTGCGGCTCCAGACTGCCCGGGGGTTGTACAGCATCTCGTTGGCCTTGGCGTGGCACACATGTCAAACCATCCAAACCAACAGAATTCAGTTCTACTGCAAATCCTGTGCTGACTAGACTGTTATCTGGTTTCTTCTGTACTGTTCCGTCGAGCCCAAAACACAAACACCCAAGAACCTAAGAGGCGCCACCCAGCGGACTGCTTTCCTCCACGTGCCGTCAGCCCATGCACCAGCGGACTGCACTCGGTCAGCGGGGTCAAAGGGCCCGAAAGTATTGGTAGGTCGAGCTGCTGCCCAGCAGCTCAGCAGCTGATACCCTTAGACCCCCCCTGGGAAACAGAAGTTAACATGGTTTAAACCTGTTTCTTTGAGTGGGGTGACCAATCCCCCCAAACAAGGTTCAAGGTTACCATAGGTTATACCCACTTGTCCGGGGTAGCGCAGTGCATTCTGTTAGTTTATGTTGGCCAGCGTGGGTCAACTATGGTCCCGCCTGTGGTCACCTGAGTCACCTGTCGACCCATATATCAGTCCTATTCAGTTCTGTTGACCTATGCGTTCTCGCCAAAGCTAGCACAAAAGAAACAAAAAAGGACCGGGTATACCAGGCCTTAAGCTTTGGAATCCCATAGGACGCTCTCTCCGGGACCAGAGTGCCACCAGCACCGATGAGATCCACGTCCGCCGTTCCGCCGGGAGGCAATGGTGAGGGCTTTCAGCTTCACCTTGGACAAAGCAGCTGCGCCACGAATCGTGCCACGAATCGATGTGTTCACAGGTTCTGATTGGTTCAACGGGTATACAATGACTGATTGGTGCAACCACTGGCAAAACATGGTGAAACCATATAAAACCCATAGGTTACTCCATTGGTAAAACCATTCATTGTACCCCAAATACTGTTTGGAGGTCCTACCCCACCCTGGGAGCCCTGCACTCCTGGCCGAACATTCTCCCGGCGTCATTTCCGCGTCGCTACACTACACAGCCCAAGCGGAGCAAACATGGCACCCAAAAAGTTGATACCAAATATACTGTGTACTCTTTCAAATCCTCTGTGCCAATCTCTGACCACACAATGGCCTTCCAAAACATATTGGTATCAACTTCAAAAGGATGACTAACACATTGGGCGGTAGCAAACGGGAAGTTATACAACAGGACTAACATAATTAACACATGTTCGGGAACCCATCCGTTCTTGGCATGTTAGAATCTCTTGGGTCTTGAAGTTGTATTCCATCGGTCTGAGGCCCTGACCCGCAGCGGCTGCCTACGCAAGGCATATTGGTTCTGTGTTTGTCTGTGCTCATTGCGTTTGGCCATGTCTGGGTCTGCCAGTCTCACCTTGAAAAAGACCGATTGGAAGGGGAACGTAAATGTTCAGTCATAAACAGTGGATGATCACCCCTGCTTGGAGCTCGATGTAGATGCCCACTCATCTGATCTCATCTGTATTTTGCCGACATCTGAACCAAGTGGACCAGTTCCAGCGTCAGGCTCCAGCAAATGGAATATGGACGACTGTGCCGCCGCAAAATATGACCATCGTCTAATCATGTCTAATCTCCTATCCACTTGAGGACAACGATCTCTTATATCATTGGGCACCACCCTGTGCTAGTGGCTGATTGTTGAAGGCCTCAACAAGACGAATTGACGGAACAAACCCGTCCCCCAGGGTGGATTGAACACCTACACCTGCTGGGAGGTACTAACGTCTATTGACGCAGCAAGTCGTTGGATACCAATTTTGTTCCATAGCATCTCAAGTTCCCTGTATTCTGGGCTGTTTCGTTGAAACTATCCCCCAGCTGGCCACATGTGGAGGACTGGAGGACGGCATAGCTCCCAAGGCACAGTATCACGGCAAGGACAGCTACAGCAACCCACGCAGCAAGGTCGTTCCCCACTTTCTGGACATGGAGTCAGCTACCCTTGATATATGCGTTACCTATCTACTTTCGAGTGGCTTAAGCACAAGCACGCAGCAGTTGTCCGAGGCTTCTCGGTGGCGGAAAACCTCACGCGTCCACAGGTGAGCAACACCTCCCCCCGCGTTGTCATCAAATACGCTGCTGGTCATGACAGTAGCGACATGGCAAAATGGCAACATGTACTGGACTATAGAGTTTGTTGGTTCATGTTCCATGTCTATGTCAAGTGTTTCACGGCTGTATTGTATGCATCCCATGGAATTAGTGTGGGTACTAGTGTCGGTCTGTTCATGATCAGTCATGTCGATTTGCTGATGAATACCTCCATATACCCCGCACAGGGAGATACAACATGATGTCTAAACACTTCTGTTGAAGAGGTTCATTACAGTATCTACTACACTGTGGCTCACTAACATGGAAGTGGAACAAATGGGCCCTTGGAAGACGCGATGCTTTCCTTTACGAACAGGAGGTGCGTTTTCCACTTCCGAACACCGGTCGAGTCCCACCACACGTCCCGGTGGTTCGTCCCTCCGCTGGTCTCGGCCTCGGATCCTTGAGGGCCTCCTTCAGCACCGCGACGGCACCCTTCAGCTCCCCAGGCTGCATCTCCAGCCTCTCCCGAGGCGGAGACGTGCGGGTGTCGCGCGGGCTAAGACGGAGCCGGAGGAGAGGGGGCCCGCGGGTGAAATGCCGGAGGTATTTGAGCGGAAGATGGTGGTTTGGTAGAAGCTATCCTATAGGTCTATAGGGCTAGTATGGGCATTTGTTTCGCAGGAAGATTTGCTTGGAGTATGAACTGCAACGCTATGGGCGCACCCCTGGTTTGAGTTTTCGTTCTCAGAACTCCGAAAAAAATTACGAGACTTGGGTGCGAGAGTGTTGCAGGTCATGGTAGCAAAGATGCTGGTAAAACCAAAATTGTGAGAAAACATTGGAAGTCTTTCCTTGATTCAATCTGATCATGACATCTCCTTTGGATCCTTGAACGCTACCCTCCCTGCAGCAGCCAACCTTCTCTGTTTTAACGTGTTCATATTGCTTTCGGAACCTCTCAACCACTCCCCAAAAACAGTCCAACCACTGATTGGGAAGCGCAAATTTAAAAGGTACATGAGCCCGTTTCTTGTTTTCCCTCCGAATTTCGTTTCGGCAGAAATCTCTGGCCTCTCGCAAATCTCGGTAATCTGGGGGAAGTCGACACTGCATCTGCCAGAAGCATTGCGCCGTGGGTTGTCCTACGGAAAATCCAAAAATTAACATAAACATGGAACCTCGGAATGGATACATAATACTATATAATGATGGATGCATTAATGTGGATGCATCAAACAAATCAACCTGGCCAGCACCGGGCGCCGGGCACCACCATTGAATGGGGTCATGAATTGTGCGCCTACCCGGTAGACGAAATGTATAGCACATTCAGATTCATGTGCAGTACAGGTGCCACGGGATGTGGATGTACATTGAATGACATGTCACAGGATGGGTGCCAATATCTCTGAATGGTGACCGTCTTCCCTTCCGTTGGACAGGTTGGGGCCCCGGCTCCGGGCGCAGGGCATTCCTGAGAGGCAATCCACTGCGGAACAAAAAAAGGCTTAGAGCAAACAGTTTACACCCAAACGTACACTGTCTGACAAGACAAAAACATGACAAGAACATTCGTAACAATTTCGGCTAGCGGCTAGTGATGGATGCTACATTTACGCTCGGTTTTCTGCATTGGTCCATTGGTGCAAAACAATTGGTGGAACCAGCAGGCGGCAGTGAAGGCATCAACGGTGAAATGTCTGTGATATAAATATCCCGGCAAGAGACCCCAAACAGTGTATGTGAGGTCTAGAGGTGTAGCAGCAGAAAGTCTAGAGATCTATAGGCATCGGCATTGGGGTCCAGAGAGGTGACGTTGGTGATGAAGGTGGAGATCGTGGTGATGGTGGCGGTGGTGGGTGAGTAGTGTAGTGTAGTGTAGTGTAGTGTAGTGTAGTGAGTGAGTGAGTGAGTGAGTGTGAGTGAGTGAGAGAGTGAGAATGAGTGAGCGAGAGCGTGAGTGAGAGTGTCTGAGACTAGGCCAAAGTGAGAGTTAGAGTAGAGTGAGAGTGAATGTGAGTGTGAGCTTGTGAGTGTGAGTGACAGCGAGGGTGGGAGTGAGAGTGAGAATGAGAGAGTGAGAGTGAGGGTGAGCATCTGAGCACAAAGTGAGTCGCCTGCCACGAAATGTGCACTTCGAGGTTCACAAAGTGCTGCGCCTGCCACGAATTCTGCACTTGACTTTGAGGTTTACCGAGCGGTGCGCCTGCCCAGAGATCTGCACTTCGAGGTTCACAAACTGGTGTACCTGCCACGAAATCTTCAAACAAGCCGCATGTCCAAATTCACTGCACCTGTCACGAAATCAGAGCGCCTCGAAGATCACCACCATGTCCAAAGTGCTGCACCCATGAAATCTGCATTTCGAATTAAAACTGCTCCGACCCCTTGCGCCTGTCACGAAAAGTCAACTTTGGACCACCAAAGCACGAGGCTTCCCTCGCGCCTGCCACGAAAAGTGACCACCATGTCCGAAAATGCGCGCGGCACCACAACGGCGGGAGCGCAGTTGCGAGAAGCACCCGCCGCGCCAAGCAGATTCTGCGAGCCTGCGCAGTCGAAATGCACTTGGAGGATTTCGAGAGGCATGAATGCATTGTAAATAGCAGCGAATTAGCCGGACACGTCGGTGCAACACCTCGATTAGACACCGGTGCTTAACCACTACCGTAAGAACCCCTAGTGTGACCACACTGTTTGGGGAAGAAAGACCTCAGCTGGGTGAGGAGGCACATGGAGGCACCTGCACTTCAGTGAGGTCAATAACCAGGTCAACAGTCATGTGAACTGAAACATGAGGAGCCGTGGGTTTTCGATGTCGGTGACCAAAGGTAGCAAGGTCATGAGGGGTCCAATGGGATCGAAACGGGCACCTGACATAGTCCAAACAAAGACCGCGACCGCCCATGCCATGCAACGAATTCCAACAATATGAATAGCATATGATGGTGTATGCCATCTTTGTTTAAGGCCCATGACCTATAGGTATCTATAGGTGGAATAGATGCCCACTTCCTGCACCCAAAGCACTCTTGGAGGTCCACACCAATTAGAGACCCTGTTCAGATGGGATCCTCTCAGTCTTTCGATGAGCCAAGCATCTGCACCAACAGCCCTGCTGGTCGGGAGGGCGCGCACGCGAAGCCGGTGGGCTGAGGTTGAGGAGGCTCCTGGCGTCTGGTGCGCACACCGCTCTCACAGGGCATTTGTCCGTGGTGTTTGCCGGATCTCAGGGTGACCTACTCAGAAGTTCTCCCCAGCAAGAACTGGATGTGAATTAATCGAGTCAGTCACTTCCTTGCAATACCCAAACAGTTCACCTCTGATTCAGAATTGAAAAATGATTATAGTCACTGCCAGAGCTTCTTTGGAAAACAATAGTTTCGTTTCAATTAGAGGTCAGCCAGATTGTTAGAACCTCAGAATATTACATGCTTTTCACTGCCAGGATCTGCCAGGTCCTCAGGCGGTGGCTGGGGCGGAGGTGGCAACGGCGGCTCCGCCTCCTTGATCGTTGGGAGCCGTCCAGCAACCCTGAAATCCAGGAAATCAGAAACATGCTGTAATGTTGGATGCTGATTGGTGATAGGGCCCTCTATAGTGGTATTAAAAAAGAACATCTTGACACAATGTTTGGCTTAAGGGTTCTCTATTATGTTAAATCTCATTGGGATCCTATACGGAGACCTGTGAATACTACTCAGCCAATGGCTGGCTTGCTGAGAATATTGATATATAAGTATAGGTTTCTCGGTTTCTCTGGTTCTTCTTCGAAACTGACAGTTTCCTAAAGCCTTCAATTCCTTAATCAATCCTTTACGTAAAGATTGCTCCTAAACAAATTTGCAAGGTAGTAGACTAACTAGGAAGGCCCTTGATCCTCAATAACAGAATTGTTTTAAGGGTTCTCAAGGGTGCAAAGTGTTTCCTAAGAAACAGGAAATACAAATAAATATTGATACTACTAAGCCAGTGGCTGGCTGCGTGCCATTTGTTTAGGGGGAGGGGGATCCCTTTTACTAATCAAGATCCAACATTAAATGGAAGCGGAAACTGCTTGCTAGCGGAAACTACTTGCTGCAGGTCATTGCATGCTAAACCACACACCTACAGAATGAGATCAATGAAGACTGGACCGTGTCTGACTGCCAGTCTGCAGGTTGGTATTACAAAGAAGGTTGCGCTCAGTTGAAGAAAACAACTCAAAGGATTTTGAATCATCGAGGCGAAACTGGATGACACTCGCTCAAAAAGGCGTGGATGTGGAACACGCCGACTTGGAAAGCTCTGTTCCGAACTACTTTGTGGTCTTCCAATCGTGAGGAACTTCGAGCTCCTGAAGGCTCAGGAACCCCCCGTCCTGCATCGTCACGCTGGGTCATGGCGCGGCATTGGTGGGCCGTGATGGCAGAGATTCAGACGGTCGGGTTCTGCGGTATGAATTCCTCCCTCCCGAACATCCAAACACTTGGTAGGGTTCGTGGGATGGAAGTTGAGGCTAATGACAGTCTCTCTGGAGTACGACATCATACGACGGCCATCGGACATTCTCTGGTCAGCTTGGTGCATTATGGTGCATTGAAAGCTTCCAGCTGGCCAACATGAAGTCAAGCTACAGTTGTCAAGCCTGCCAAATGAAGGTAGACCAGGTAGACCTTCAGCTGGTAGCTCTGGACTCTCAACCCTCGACGTGTTCGACTCGAAGGAACTCACCCCCATGTTAGCTCGGAGGGAGTGGTTTCGATTGGATGCTGAGTGGTGTCGGTTCCCGCAACAAGCAGGAAACGCAGTGCATTGACCCGTGGTCAACTAGGATCTGCTAATGACCCACGGCTGGCCGGCCTGTCGTCATCTGAAGGCTTGCCCACAAAAATGTGTAACAGTCGGGTGCAGTAGGGTAAGAAAGTTATTATGCAATCCTGTCCTGTGGCATCAACATAGTAGCTCATCAACCATCGTCAAGACCTGCTTGGGGACTGGCATTTTGTAGCCCGCAACATTTGAGCCAACACTCTCGAATGCTTTTGGCATCGAAGCATGCACCCGTCGGGCACGGGCGTCGCTGGGAACCCTCGGCGGTTGACTGGGTGAGTCTCGGCTGATGCCAGGTAGCGATGCCAGGAGCCCCTAGTAGCGTCCTTGCTCCTATTAGTAAGGCCAGGAGCCCCTAGTAGCTTCTAGTAGCGATGCCAGGAGCCCCTAGTAGCGTCTTGGGGCGCTTTGGGGCCTTCCTGAAGAGAAATATATCCTTAGCTCTGTGCAGCTCCCTCCAAACCACCAGCCGCTGGCATGCATATCACCGTAGCAAAGCCAACACAATATGTTTTTGCTTCATGTCCCTTGAACGGAGAGTATCTATGTTCCTCATCATTTGTCCTAGAATCTAGGACCGCCCATAGGTTGTCAAGCCCTTATATAGTTGGTGGTGGGAAGTGGGCAACTCCGTGAAGCTGCGATGTCTGCAGTGGGTTGTGTTCTTGGACTTTCCAGGTGCAAAACAAATGTTTTTCAACAGCTGCAAGCTATGCTTCTGCTCATGGAACAAGAGCACCACCCCAAACCACCCAAAATAAATACACAAATACCGCCATAGTAGCTTCTGCTTCCCTGCTTCTCTGTTTTTGCCCTTATTACTGGCCTATACAACGCCTGGTGTAGTACAAATACAAATGCAGCATGTACTTCAGTAGAAACATCAGAGGATTTCAAAGACTCAAACCGGTCTTCAATGTTCAGGCAAAAATGATCTTAAGCATGCACTTGTATTATATAGTTATTAAGCATCAAATTTCAAAACGGTCAATTGTCGCGTAGGTCCACAAGCACCTGCACAAACCTTTGGTGGCCAAGCTGTGCGCACCAAAATGTCTATATACCAGATTGCTCGACCGTTCAAGTCATGTGGCAGAACGTGGCAGGAACCTCTCTGCGAGGAAGCCAAGTTGCTTGAGGCACAAGGGAGGTGTCAAATGCGGCTCTATTGACTGGCGAGACCCTATGCACATCTCCTGATGAACCTCAGTTGTCATGCCCCCTCCAGTTATATGTATATATATACACCGCGTCGCCCAGCTTTTGCCCCTCCAAGTGCCCAGCTTTTGCGTGCGACGGTGCACTTGTGGCATCCAACAGAGGTTCACCTAGTCTGCCTAGACCCTACACAGAAGCTCAGGTTGCCTGGCAAGGGTGGCGTTCAACAGTCGGAAGTGGATGTCAAAAGGTGATGGGATTGCCAAACAAACACAGCTGTCTGGGCACACTCAGTGGGGTCGAGCCCTTGGCACCCAACCGCATTTGAGCGACACCCATGAAAGCCACCTCATTCGTTCGCCAGGCAGGCCACTCCCAGCTCTAAGACCTGGTGCTAGCCGGTCGCGGCACTCCCAAATTTGCTTGACCGGGTCACTGGGTCGGCCGGTTTTCAATTCCTAGATGCGTTCAAGAAGGGTCAAGCTGATTTTGCTTGGATGATCATCTCTACCTTACAGTTTGTATTCCAACCTAACTCAGCTCATGGAACTGCAAAATTATTTGAGTGGCTCTGCATGTCATAACCTCTCGATGTGGCCAAGCGTGGGAGCCGTAAGAATAAAGGGCGAGAACGACAAAACCAAAGGTGCAGCAGCTGTGACAATGAGAGATCATCAAATTGTCTGATGGCTCCGCCTCCACTGGTGAACAATAAACACAACTATTTCCCAGTGCTTTGGGTATCTCCAGTTATATTGATTTCAAGATGTTTGTGTCCCCAACAATCAGCAACCATACTCTAGCCCAAAAGGCCCTTCATTTTCCCGACCTTCCAAGCCCTCCTCGTGCAGCTGAGAGTTGCTTTGTTGAGACAGTGCTATGTGCGACCAAACGTGCAAAAGACATCGAAGGTGGAAGAAGTCCTAGACGTCCCCCCACCAAAAAATATAACATCCAACATTTATCACATGCCTAGGCAGGGCATCGCGTGTTCAATAACCTAGGCAACTGCAAGCTGGATATACGGAAAATATTAGGTTGTTTACTCAAATCCACTGGAACATGCATGGTAAACCCTCTGCATCGTCCCCTTTCCACCCTTCTCAATTGTCGCACCAACAGCGGTCATAGCCCACGGGCGGGTGCCAGTGTGGTGCCCTTCACCTCGGACGTCGTCGGCACGCCAGGCACGCTGGGACCGGACAAATAAGATATGTATTTAGATGTCATCGTTTTCTGATTACGGTGGTATTGGAAGTCGGAAATTGTATGAAATCCTTATTATCATCGTTTTCTGTTATTTTTGCCACCCTGTGAATATCGATTGCTGTTTTGTTACAATAGATGACTACGATTATGACTCTAACAAAGCATGGACAATGACTATGACCTCTTGGAAGAATTTGTGTCCCTGCACAACCATTTAGGTCCATTGTGTCTTAAAACAATGTAAGTGGCACCATGTGGAATCCCATCTGAACGGTGGGGGCTGCAGCAGTGTCCTCATCAAACATCGAGATCCTTGCAACCCACCGGCCGGGCCCTGGTCCTGTCTCAGAACACCTCCCTTTGAAACCGCTGAGGGCCTGCCAATCACCAACAAGAAGCAAAAATGGTCAGCTGATGTTTAGCCCTGAAAATAATCCTCATTGGTCCTTGAGTGGGGGAATGAGCTCCGGGCAAGCTGCTTCCTCATAAGTTGCCCAGCGTCGGCACAATAAAAAAGCTCTAAAAGCAGGTCTTGCTCTTGCATGACTCGGCAGAAGAAGGACTAAGCGTGACTCGGCGCAACCCTGCCAATGGTTTCAGGAAGCTTGTGCCACATTCACTCTGGGATTCAAGGATGCCCCATATGCAAAGCAAAAAAGTATAACAGGAAGAAACCATGACACACTTGACTGACAATAATTTGACCAACAACCTGGAAGAGCCTCGCCTCATCAAACAAGGGAAACTACAAGATCGAACAGCTACAACGCTGCAACAAGTCATCCCTTATCGAACCACAGCCGGCCCGGCCCGGCATCAGAATTTGTTTAATGTATATATATACATACAGAAGGGCACGCCATGGGGCCTGCGTATTGGAAATCTGTATCTAGACTGAAGTTGCATAGAATCAGATATTGGAGGGCAGGGTACCGCTTAAAAACTTAACACACAATTATGGACAACCACAACACAGACACATATATATATATATATACAATATCATACAATATCCGGAACTCTCGCAGGAAAAACAAGTAGACACAAACCACAAAACTTGAAATGTTGAAACTACAGGTAGGGGATGGTAGGCGAAGGAAGTGCTTATTTATACTGAAGATAAAATCCAAAGACCCCTAAAAGCCTCCTTTGACCACATATCCCTCAAACCAAGAACAAATAGTTTTCCATTTGGCCAAACAGTTAATCAAATTGACATGGGAAACGCGTGCATATACATGGACATCAGTTTTCCTGCTGGGGATGTCCCTATTCTTGCATCCAGGCATTGCTATACAATGTATAGTTATGTTTATGGTATAATATGGTATAATGTATAATGATATTGCCATCCAGCCAAGCTCCCCGGCCATCCCCGAACTCTGAAGCATCTCCATCAATTGTGCCAAAAGCAGGAGGGCATACCGCTCCACCTTCCCAACAACTGGAGGTCCAAGAATGGACAAGTGTTCAGAATGGCTCTCCTGAACTCCACATGTAGCTGAGCTGCATGTCCTGTTGAATGACTAGTCAACATCACATCAAATCACCCCACTCTGAATTCTCTGGAAGCTTGCTGCACCATTGCTACAAAGACTATTATTGTTAAAACAAACACCAACGCTCCCCCGGATGTCCGGGATGGGGCCTCGCTGATGCCGGGATGGTAGAAGTGGCAGTAGAAGACCAACAGCTCGGCCTGATGCTCAGCGTCGCTTGGAATCGATCCGACCAAGTCGCTTGGAAACTCGTTTTTGTTCATGTAGATTGGGTCTATCCTATTAGGGGTGACATATAATAAATGAAGTGTAGCCTACAGTCTATCTACATGAGTTGAGTATACCTATTGAATATGGTGACTATAGTCCATCCATAACAGCATCCATCAATGCTTCGATCGTTGAACAGCAGTATTTAGCTCCATCCGATTCCCTCCTGTCTTAGATTGTCTTAGCAGTGCAATCTCATTCTTTTGGCCGAAACAAGTGCTCGCCGCCGAGACAACTGGCCGTCGGCCGGTAGGGACTGATTGATTCTCATCATGAAGCTTCTCTTCGTTGTTCCGAATCCACAGGAGGGACCATGAGGGACCCATAAAACTTTGTAAAGCCAAGCACCGTGAAGCCCATGAATCTCGTCCCATGCACAAAAGGCATGCCTGGGAGGTGTTCTCCATTGAGTGGGTGTAGCTTGGATCAAAGACCAACACACCTGGCCCGTTGATTCAAGGCGTTGAAGGCGGACAAATG